TAAAAAAAGACATTTTAATTTTAAATACCGTGCATTAAACCAGCAATACTTGGACATTCTTATATTGATTTCACATCTGATATAGGATGCAGATCTCGAGTCTTTATAAATGGTTATTGCTAGTCCTTTGAATGCACTCGATATAATATATATATAGAAATATATATATATATGTTCTTAAAATACCTTAAACCAGCAATACTTGGACATTCTTATATTGATTTCACATCTGATATAGGATGCAGATCTCGAGTCTTTATAAATGGTTATTGCTAGTCCTTTGAATGCACTCGATATAATATATATATATATATGTTCTTAAAATACCTTCCTTTCATGTGTTTTTTACTCAATATAAGGTGTATATATAGACATAAGATTTATGAAGACCTCAAACAGTCATAAACATATATCCTCTTGTATTGAAGGGCCTACCAGCTAAAATCCCAAATGACACAAATTCAAACAGAGTTTCAGTCATAAACTGAAATTACTTCAATCAGCTTTAGGTGATCAATATTGACAATTTTTTATAGCAAAAACATCAATCAGAATCTTGCACATATTACTTGGAAAAGTAAATTTGTCTTCATTACGAGTGTATTTTAACTATGGTATAAATCTTCACACAGTTATCCAAATTCATAGCCAACAATAGTGCATGGATAGGTCTAATAAATCAAGATAACCCTAGGAGTAGTGTCATAAGAGATAAACTAAATTTGTTACCTACACACAATTAAACTTGCCATTTAACTTCTCATCAAGAGGTGGGAATGAAGATAACGGCGAGGTCAATGGCACAAAAATCTGTCCCCACAAAATGCTTAGCATAACATCAGTCATCTTCCGTGAAACTGATAAATGCAGTTAATATTTGCAAAACACAAAAAAATATCTTCAGCATTTTTTAAAATTGCAGGCTACCTATATTATACATCAATTGGGGTATATCATCTTCAGTAGCATATTTTATCAGGTAGGGTGCATTATAATTTGTCTGAAGTGAGGAAACTTGTGCCTTGCATCTGTCCCTCACATTCCATGGGGGTACACCATGATGCTCTGCATCTGTCCACAACATTCCTCCCAGACAGGTGAAAATCACCCCCACTCCACAATTACCTGGTCCTGTGGTGAATATCATTCAAAATTCAAGCAGCTCAATTTCCATACCCTGTAAGCTCCCCTCTTCATTTGCCTTTTGCCAATAATTACCCCCATTGAGGAATTTATCAGCAGGAATGGCTGTTTAACCTGCCACGAGCCAGTGGTATCAAATTCCAATTTAATTTCTTTAATTTAAGAACTATTAACATTTTGATAAAGATCCATTATAATTTTTTATACCCTCATCTGAGTTACAAAACACCATGACAGACACCAAATGTCATTGTGGATTCATGTTTTATTAAATTTATGCACAACTGTTTTGAAAAGAATGGGTACTTGATTTCAACATTAAAATTCTTAATGATTGAAAAACTTGCCAGTTTCCTTTTGTGATATCTTTTAACAAAGGAATATTAGAATTTCTAAAGGATAGTGATATTTTTTAACATAATTTAGCAATAAAACATCAGTATATTGAATTTCTGCTTTTTTGGCAAGTAGGCAATATTTTTACTGAGTCATTTCTCTCAATACAAGGAAACAAAAGTGCAATATATCAAATGCTGTCTGCATGGCACTAAAACACAAATACCTGTAAATTGTTCAATTTAATGGGGAAAAAAGATAGAAAAATAGATCTAGAGAAAAACTTACAGACAATGAAATCCATCTCAGTCTTTTCCTCTGGCATTCAGTTAAAAAATTTAAATGAGAAATGTTCACGTAGTATCAATTGCATGAATTTATGGAATAAAAAATATTGTTTATTCATTTTACATTTTTTTTTTTTTTTTGGTTGATATAATTGAACCAAAACAAAAAATTAATATTACCAATATTATCTTAAGTCCAATCCCATTTTACAACAGAGTCAGCCTGATTTAATTCATTATCCACCATAAAAAACAGCTAAATTCTGCATCCCCACTTGATACCCCTCCTGAACCTGAGCGGTGCAGCTGCAGACCAAGTGCAGCACATGTGTATAAGTGGACTTCAAAAGATGAAAGTCCTGGGTGAAAACCCTGAAGCTGTTTTTTTCTAATGTTTCATGCATCTGTCCCATAAAAATGCTTCAACTTAAAACCTCAAAGATATGACATGAGATTTATAATTAATCAGTTCTTGTGGGCAGTGAACAAACATGAAGGAGACGAGGATAAGCAATAAAAATCTATCGTTTTCCATTTCTACACTAAGGAATTCTCTACCAGAATCTTTTTGAAATATAACAACCTTTAACCAAATCAAATTGAACATAAGTGGTTAATATGGAAACTAGTTGTCGAACTCGTCACTAATTTTTCTTTTTAGAAAAACAAGTTTTATTTTTGTATGTCAGTATTGTCATATCATACCGTGTCATGTCATATTATATGCATTCTTCAATGTGGTATAGTGATACATGTATTTTAGTAGTGTGATATTGAAAAGGTTTTTTTTATTATTAGTTTATTTTGTCAAAACTTGAATTTTAAATAAATATTATCCTATCTTACAAAATCCACTTTCAAATGTTAATAATTCTTCCTAAAGAAATTGCCTCTTTTTTATATATATTTATAATTTTTGGGTAAAACTGTGCATGACCTGCTTTTCTTTATTTTTAGTGATCCAGTTCTCCAAATGCTTGTTTTCTTAAATGACAAATGTGATCTGTCGGAATATCTGATCATGGCTGGTTACATACTGACGGGTCTAATTCAGCATGAAATTCACCACCACTGGGGCCAAATAGTTTGTTTTAACAAAAAAGGTGTAACTTGTGCCTTGTGGGAAATCTGGTGATAGGAACTACCGATAAGCTTGTTATATGTTTTACAGTGTTCAGCCTTCAAACATTTCATCTGCTCTCATATAAAGTATGGGCCTTTTATTATTAATTAGAAACTGTTATGCAAGCAACATAAGATACCATATTCCATAGTCAAAATGTCAATGAATAATTTGTGCTCAAAAAGTTTGCTGAGAACCTGTGTCTTTGAATGGTTGCTGGGTAGCTGCATTTAAACAAACATGATAGCTGTACTAATTCTTCCATAGGTCTGGTTTGGCATTTCTCTCCATGTCGTCAATGTTTTATGCATAACACAATATGCTCTTTAAGACTTTAATTCAACTTACAAGTGTGTATTCACAAACAAAACTGTTCTTTTTCTAGTAACACTGAAATGTGAATGATGCTCTATATTCTAAAAGGTCGTTGTCAACGAAGTCAGGTCATGAGAAGATGACATAAGTTCAGGTGTGTCATTTGACAGGTATTTCTTAACCCTAAATAGATCTGATGTAACCTTGACTATATTACACAGAAACAGGTCAATACACTTTGGAAATACCATCACTCTAAACTTATGTAACACAATATCACTAATTTATCTATGAAACACTTAAATAAAGCATACCTCATTCAAGCATATTCAAAATTAAGTTCAACTGAAGAACAAAAAGTAAAATTGATTTAATGATTTTGATGACATCTAATATACCAAAAAACAGGTATTGCTAATTATATAGGTTTGGGCAACTTGTTTTATGATTTTGATTGAATATATATAAAACAATGAAACATGGTGTAGTAAAGTAAATGAGGATAAGAAGTGAAGCTACTGTTATACAGTATTAATACATGTATCCTACTGTCTGTCTGTCTCTACAATCAAAACTGACAATAAAAGCTTCCACAAAGAATAGAAACTATTCAACAACATTATTAAAAGCTTGAATTCCAGCTTCAATTTACTTTTGGCAAAAACCTACTCCCAAGATCAACAAATGACAGAAGAATAAAACACTTGTCTACAAAGAAAGAACTGATAGAAATTTTAAAAACATGATCGGAATTTGTGTGCAAACAGTCGGCCCCTGAAGTGTTGAATTGTCGCAGTAGGATAAATAAACTGACCACAATAGAGTGGCCAAACATGGGCGTTTAAACTTTAATCAATTATCTGGAACGTTTGAGAAGATGCAAAGTAAAATTGTATGGCTGATATTTGATGAAATATTTAATCTACGTCATTGAATAATTTTGCCTGACAAAGCACCCGCTTGTCTTTTTTTGCTTTGAAGATATTCCAAGAACATATTCCATTTCAATTAGACCTTGGTGTGATAAAGCAGTGTCTATTATTTTATATAAAAATGTCAATAATAGTTTGTTAATGCTCAATCACATTATCTACGTAAAAGCTATTAGAAAGTGGGTGTCAAAATATTTCATTAAATTGCTATTAATAGTTATTAAATAAAAACCAGGTGGTCGTACTTTTGCCTTCCACAATTTTTGCAATGCTTCCTACGGTATCTTACTAATGGGACCTGTATCATCAACATCACCATCGTCATCGTCCCAACACATTACTATCTTGAAGGCAAAGTATAAATGACCAATGCACACACATCAACAGAGGCGTACACATGAACTAAAACTAGATCCAAAGGGACATTTCACATTTAAAATCACCTAACATCTTGAAAGATAGCTTTCAATCAATAAATGAAGCAAACTGCTGATAATGAATTAAATATGTACTTGACTTCAAAGCAAGAATTAATCAATCTTTAACTAGCATTTTAAACCTCAGAGATGCTATTTACTGTGTATTCAGATATAATGACTGTGTACGACTTTACTGTTCGGAAATTTTTAACATTTTTTTAGCCTATTGTTCATTACATGTTTACTAAATGGAAAATACTGTCCAACAGAGAGAAATAGTACTCAATACATATCCCAGGGACTCGTTATAGGAATAAACAGGATACGGAAGGCATGTTTGACTTGCACAGTGCCATTCTAACGGACAGACAGATGGACAAATCCTGATTGTTATGTTGTCCCTGGTAGAAAAACAAAGACCATCAAAAACAGATTCAATACTTACACTATTTATGTACTTCTCACTAGTGGTGAGGGCATGCATTATAGCTGTGTCCAGTTTCCCGTCCAGCTTATTCAGTGTATGTTCAGCATCATACTTCTGAGCCATCCAGGCCTGAAGTCGACCTACTGACATAATTAATCCATTCCAATCATTACTTATAACAGAAAGCTGTGCCAAACACCTTCTCATTGAATTTAAGCAAAATCCCTTGCATGGTTTGGTGTCAATTTCCTGTTGGCAATGTGAACAATACTGAAGGCGGGTCACTGCATGTTGGCACTTTTCGGTCAAGGTCATTTGATCTGTTGTATTGATGGCCTCCACCAACAAGGTCAGCACATCCATGTATGATTTGGCTGTAGACAATGCCTTATTAAGGATATGGGATATATTGTAAGGAAGTGGTCCAAATGGATTGGGGATTATTTCTTGTCGTTTGTTTTTTAAGCACTCGGTGTGTTCTGGAGATAAGGTCACTGAAATATTCTTCCCTTCGAGAATGTATTTATACAAATACGGGAATAAAGAATCAAATAAGGAATTCACTGAGCCATACAGGCTCACATGTTTCATTTTTAAATAAGTCCTAATGTCTTGGTAGAAGTCTTTCAGAGGTTGTCTATGGGCACTTGGTGGAATATCATATAAATCTATTAGCAGCTGGCTCGTCCTGTTGTATGAACTCTGGATTACATTTTCCAAACGTTCTGAAAATAAAAATGAACAAAAAATGCATAAAGATTATTTCGTAAGTTTGTGATTTGTCTGTATCTTTTAAGTTTGTCTTGAAGTAAATCCTAAGTGTTTCCTTTCAGAAAGACTAACAGACACTCTATTAATACTGCAATACGTACAATACATATATATGACAAGACAGTATTCCTATTGAAATGTTACAAGTGATTACAATTTCATTACTGAGTATTTGCAAGGTTAAATTTTGCACTATTTTCATTGACTTCAAGATAACTTTCACATGGCCAGATTTTTTTTTTTTTTTTTGGGGGGGGGGGGGGGGGGGAGGGGCAGCCTCTGAAATTTTCAGAGTTATGAAATCTCTATGTAAAATTAATGAAAAAAAAAAGACCTTTGACACCCTCCACCCATGAAAAAAGAATCACTTTAAAAATGATAAGGGGAGTCATCTATCAGAAGAAAATTGAGTTAGGAAAATATCCTCTTCTAACCCCCCCCCCCCCCCCCCCCCAACAAGAAAAAGGGATTTTCAGGTTTGGGCAACTTGTTTTGTTTTTGTTTTTTTTTTGCTTTGTTTGTTGAAAATCCTGGATTCATCCCTGTTTCATACTAATCTACTTCTACTCTTCTACATGACCTTTACCAGTTATACCTGATCAGTCTTATCATATATTTATGATTAAGTACAAATTATCAATGTATATATGTATGTATACTGGAATATCATTTAAAACAACCATGTCATTTTTAACATACAGGCATTGACAATTATTAAAGAGGGTTAAAGATGGGGGTTTACAGATATGGTTGTTAATTACGATGAAAATGTCACTGTATCTTGTCTATCGAATCTCAAATAGCGCGACTGGTCATTAAAAAGATGTAAAATCTCTGAACAACCAAATATGTTCAATGAATGCTTGAAATGACACAATACACCTATATCGCATGCCAAACAAAAGTATCTCTAGCCATCAATAGAAATATATCTTAGCAATTCGAATCAACGCATTGCTTGATTAGAGACATTGGAATGTGCTACCATTTATAAAAGGTTAGATATTTTAAGATGATATGACATAGGTAATAGGCAGAAGATTTTGTCTGAATCGGATACCCGACAACGCACACTAGACATATAATGGAGGGAAATGCTGGTTAAATATTTACCCCACACTTACCACAGAACTGTTTCTTTCACTCTGTTTACTCTACATGATGCCCTATAAGGACATTTTTTGCTTTGTTGACACAGGTTAGATTTCCTCTTCTAAAAATCTTAACAATTTTATACTGAAAGGCCCAGGTTTGCATACTTTTTTGGAGAGACACATTACTGTTTTGAGAACAACTTTAAAACATTCAGTATGTGAAATGTCTCAGCTTTTACAATAAAACATTATAGGCAACAACCTTTTATGATTTAAAACTTGGAATCAATTAAAGAAAGACTTTTTTAAAGCTCTATAAAACTTTTTGACATTCAAGAATGACAGCTGTTTCATATTCATGCATTTTTGCTGTGAAGAACCTAAATGACCTTGACATGATCCTTATGCATGTTCATTAAGAATTCCATGGGAGAAAGACAAAATCTTGGACTCTACCCATGAGCTGGCAAATTTATGTCTCTCAGTTTTTAATGGTTTTACTCTGTGAAATCGATATAAAGATGCAGTATTTTATGCGCCCATTTTTCAAAGCAGATTACAACATGTTTTACAATCAAAAACTCAAGATGTTAGAGGCTGTAGATCCATAAAAGCTTTGCAGCTGCAATTCATTAAATGTTTTGCAACTTGCCACCTTTTTTACTTGTTTATTTTATCAAAGATTGCAGCATCTAATGCATGTGTCAAATGACAGCAATATATGAAATCATAAACGCGGCTAGGATAAGGCTGTCCGAAGAATGTCACAATGTACCAGCAGTAGTAACTTCTCTGAACTACCTAGATATGACGTCATAATGGCATATGACGTCAAGTCACTGCAAACATGATGGGGAAAGTGTCATAACTTTTACATTCCTTTCACATGACATGCAGAATTTTTTTACGTTGATGTTTAATTCATGTGTCTGGATTCTTGTGTTAAGCTTCAGTATGCTGTTATGATGGTGAATATTTGCAATATAATATCGTTATTCCTTTTTCTTGTATTACATGTACGTATTCAAACAATTACAGAAAAAGAATGTGAAATGCTCCCCCTTATACGTCCGTAGACAGAGTCAGAATTTATAAATCGTGTATAAATTAGACTGGCACAAGTGAATAATAAGTATAAATTGAAGATATTCTGTGTGAATCTACTAGAAAAATATGTCCTCTAACTGAATTTTGCTGGGGGATTGTTTGTAATTCTTCCCATGTTGTATAAATTGCAACAAAGAGTGGAAAATGCCCCCTTGTATGTGGGTAAGATTTCTCGTGAAATATTTTCTTAAGAAATAAAATTCAGGCTTGTCCCCAGCACTTTATATATACCCAAGGATATGTTTAATTGATTTATGTAATAAACCGTTCACAATAATTTTGTTTTTCACTTGTGCCGATGCGATTTTTGTGCAACATTTAAGAAAATTTATGTGTCCGTCATGTGATCAACACAGTCATGTGACATCAGAAAAATGCTTTTTATAATACCTTATTCAACTCTCTTTACAACTGAACTTTGCATGTATACATAGATTACAAATTGAAATCAAAACATAGCTCAAAATTAAATAGTATATATCTTATGCATATCAAGCGTTCGGACAGCCTTAACATAGCTGCGAAAACACATTTTTATTGACTTTCTGTTTCATAAAAAAAATTTCCATGGAATATGAATGTCTGCTTATTGGTACTTTTGTGTTGCAAAATGGAAAGAAAATGTACCTTGTTTCCTTAGTATTTGTATATTAATTAATCCAATGTATGATTTTGGAGGGATACGAGGGCAAAGGATAGTAAATTTCATTGAGAAGGTCAAGGTCAGAAAAATTTTAACACACATTTGAAATGTTCTCATCAATGTGAATCAGATTATGAAGTTTGATGAAATGCCATGCATATATATATGGTGGAGGAAATTTATACAAAATATAATTTTCAATTCGAGTAAGAAATGGTCAATTGGAGTGCTGATATTCTCAGACAAGGTATGAGCATCTTCCAATAGTAAGAAATTCAATATCTTGCATTTAACTTAACTGAATAACAACTGACAAAGAGAATACACGTATTAGCACTTGGTAGAGTTGGGTGGGGTATTATCTTCAGAATAGAACAATCAATGAATATTTTCCTTGCACTGACATTATTATCACCAAGAACAGGAAATAAAGTTTTATTTTGAAGATACACCAAATTATCATATATTTAAACCCATCCCTTGAGTAGCAACCATTCCCTAAAATTATGCATTTCAATAATTTTTATCACATTATTAAATTCTTAAAATTTAATAAATTGCATTTCCAACATTCCTGTGCTTCAAATTTATTATGTATTGCATGCTAAAAGAGATTTAAATGTGTTGTAGAGGACACATTTAACACATCAAAATAAACATTTTGATAACTTTCGATGCTTTATATCACTTATTTTCATGAGATATACAACACACGATTTTACGACTGATACTCATCTCCCAGACACAGTAGCCTGCTGTTTTCTGCTTGTGCGTAACATCATCTACCGAGTGCAATGCGTCATTAAAGGGCAAACAATTTTTCAAGCTAAAATTTTACAGTAGTTTGTTATGAAACCTCATTAGTGATAATTAATATGTGCTATAAAAGATTATACATTTGATGAAAGGTATGTGTAGATAAAAATAGACCAGATACAGATATATAATAACTGAGCTATGTCTGAAATTATGTGTATATATAGAAATCTATATTTAATTAAACTTAATCCATAAATGATTCAAAAAGAACATATAGGGAGAGAGAAAATGCGTGAAGCATGAATTAAGTATAATATTAAGTTCGGTCTTAACTCTTCAGCAATCTTTTCATTTAGCATACTGTAATCTTCTAGGATTGAACTGGTCACACTGAATCATTCATCTTTACAAAAAAAGGACTGAAATCGGAGATCAGTGTTGCAGGTGACACATTCATTTTCTGCTCATCAAAATGACACCGCTTTCCTGTTTATTGAAAATACAAAAGCTTTTATCTTTTAAGTATATCTATGCATATAGCAGATAAAGACCTTCCCTCAACCATAAAAACAGGTGACAGCAAACATTTTTAGCACCACCCCGTTGATTTTTTTCAAAGTATGGAGGAACATATGTGTCATAATACTCCTCCTATTCTAAAAGTATTCTTCACACCTGTGTGGCCGCATGTAAATGATTCAAAAGAAGGATTAACGAGACATTCCAAACATTGGGTATAATCAGAATACATAAAAATCCGGTTATAAGTCGGTGACGTTTATAGGCTCGCAGGAACAGAATTCCAATCAGTACATGGCCTAAATCTGCTCGACATAAAATTCAATATCTAGTCATATAAAGTAGACTGCCTTCTGATGTTTTGTATGTTTTTATAATATTTCTGCTGTTGAACATATCAGTTTTGGCTGTGAATTATTATGGGACGATAATTAACATTCCATTTTGGGATAGAATTTCATTCAAATGTATTCTAGCTCCGCAGTCAATCCAGCTTGTTTAGTGATTGGACATCCATGGTGAGTTTCCCAACATCACTGTCTTGTTAATATAATCCAGTATCCTAACTATGAAAAGATTAAACCCTTCAATGTGACAGGGCAACAAAAACATTAATTATGAGCAGAGTCAATACTAGAGAGAAATAAATTCAAAGTGCGATTAAAGCATTCCCTAAATATCATTAAAGGAAATAAGAAATAGTATGTCTACAAAATAGAAATAATTAAGCTTTCAGGCTCGGAAATATTTGGCAGCTAAATCTAGCATCGTTGTACCTGACCGATTTCATACATTATTGATTGTCAAACATATAATAATTGAATAGGAGATG